GAGCCACATATAGGATTTTAAAGTGAAAATCATGGACATGTGGAATATTTCTTTTTTTAAATTCCAGATTAATATGAGGATACAAATAATTAGGTTACAGTGTTTGTGATTGTTAGGTAAGGTCCGTATTGAGTTGTGTCCCTCCCCCCAGAAGTGTGACCTACTTTCTGCCCATTAGGTGAGAGCACACCGGTTGCCCTCTCCTTTTTCATCCCTTTCCTTCCCCTTCCCCTCAACTTGAATCAAACTGAGTTTTTCTTTTGTGTGGGCTTGTATTAGATCATTTGCTGGCTTCATATTAATATTAAATACATTGGATACTTGCTTTTTCATTATTATGATACTTTACTAAAGAAAATGTTCTCCATCTCTATGCAGGTTAATATAAAAGATGTGGCTCAGTGAGTAGGGCGCCAGCTCCATATACCGAGGGTGGAAGGTTCAAACCCGGCCCCTGGCTAAAAAAATAGCCAGGTGTAGCGGGAGGCTGAGGCAAGAGAATCGCCTAAGCCCAGGAATTGGAGGTTGTGAACTGTGATGCCACAGCACTCTACCCAGGGTGACAAAAAAAAAAAAAAACAAAGATGTAAAGTCTCCATCTTTTTTAAGGCTGAAGAATATTACATGGTATACATATACCACAGTTTATTAATCCATGTATGGGTTGCTAGGTACTTGGATTGATTCCACATTTTGATGATTGTAAATTGAGCAGCAATAAACAATCTAGTGCAAATGTCTTTATGATAAAATGATTTTGCAGGCAGTGCCTGTGGCTCAAAGGAGTAGGGTGCCAGCCCCGTATACCAGAGGTGGTGGGTTCAGACCCATCCAGGCCAAAAACTGCAAATAAATAAATAAATAAAACAATTTTGCCAGGCGTGGTGACTCACACCTATAATCCCAGCACTTGGGAGGCCCAGGTGGGTAGATTGCTTGAGCTCAAGAGTTCAAGAGCAACCTGAGCAAGAGCAAGACCCCATCTCTAAAAAATAGCCAGATGCCTGTAGTCCCAGCTACTTGGGAGTCTCAGGCAAGAGAATCACTTAATCCCAAGAGTTTGAGGTTGCTATGAGCTGTGACACCGTGGCATTCTACCCAAAGGGACAAAGTAAGACTCTGTCTCCCAAAAAAAAGGCCACGCATGTAATCCTCGCACTCTGGGAGTCCAAGGTGGGTGGATCTCCTGAACTTATAGGTTCAAGACCAACCTGTGCCAGAGTGTGACCTTGTCTCTAAAAAATAGACGGGTGTTAGACGTAGTCCCAGCTACGTAGGAGGCTGAGGCAAGAGGATTGCTTGAGCCCAAGAGTTTGAGGTTGCTGTGAGCTATGGCATCATGGTACTCTACTGAGGGTGACCAAGTGAGACTGTCTCAAAAAAAAAAAAAAAAAAAAAAGATTTTTTTTCTTCTCCGTATATACCTAGTAAAGGGAATTCAGGATCAAATGAAAGGTCTATTTTTTTCTTTTTTTGAGACAGAGTCTCCCTTTATCACTGATCGTAGGGTACCATGGCACCATAGCTCACAGCAACCTCACTGGGCTCAAGTGATTCTCTTGCCTAAGCCTCCCAAAGCCCTGGGACTTACAGGTGCCTGCCACAACACTCGGCTATTTTTAGAGACGGAGTCTCCCTCTTGCTCAGGTTGGTCTCAAACTGTGAGCTCAGGCAGTCCATCTGCCTCGGCCTCCCAGACTGCTAGGATTATAGACATGAGCCACCATGCCTTGCCTCAAAGAATAATTCTATCTTTATCTTTACTGATTCACAATTTCTTGAACTTATCTCTTTCTTCAACTTTTACCTTAATGTAACCAGGTACTCTCTTTGCACCTCCATAGTCTTTTTATCTTTTTCTCTTTCTCTGCCTTTTTCCTTTCTTTTTCTTTTCTTTTTTTTTTCTGAGACAGAGTCTCACTATGTTGCCCTCAGTAGAGTGCTGTGATGTCACAGCTCACAGCAACCTCAAACTCTTGGGCTTAAGCGAGTCTCTTGCCTCAGCCTCCCAAGTAGCTGGGACTATAGGCGCCCACCACAATGCCCAGTTGTTTTTTTGTTGCAGTTGTTTAGCTGGCTTGGGCTGGGTTCAAACCTGCCAACCTCGGTGTATGTGGCTGGTGCTGTAACCACTGTGCTACAGGCGTTGAGCCTCTGCCTTTTTTCTTAATGTTTCTTAAGGTTCTGTCCTAGTCTCTGAGTGATTTCAAACAATGGCTTTGATGATGATGTTTGTGCAGTGACTCCCAGATTTATCTTTCTGGTAAATCTCTCTTATTAAATGTAGTAAATATAATGAACATTTACTATAACTGTAGTTTTGATTTTGTTACTAGAATGAATTTCCCATTCATTTGTCATAAGAATGACTTCGTAAGTGTTTGTAATGTTCTGTTTGTGTTTTTTACTATTATGATGTCTTCTATAGTCCTTATCTGAAAAACTCAATTTTTAAAATAAAACTAACGATTCTGAGGCCCAACTTTATCAAGAATAATCATTTCAAAACTTGTATACATTTTAAACCTTAAAATTGATAAATTAGTATTTTACTTATAAAAGCATCTAAAGAGCAGGTTATGTGAAGATCTTTGCTTTTTTCCAGAAAGATTAAGATATTTTTATCTCTTAACCTTCTTAGGTCAGCAAAGGAGGCAGAAGACAAAATTAAAAAGGCAATAGAGAAGGGAGAAACTCTTCCTACAGAGGCCAGATTTGATTCCAACTGTATTACACCAGGTAATACACCAGAAAAATTCTGAGAGAATTGAAATATAAATTTAAAACTTATTTTTTCAAATCTATATATTTATGCTGTATTTATTTTGGTCTTAGCATTCCTGTTTACTGTGGTCTCCCACTTGTGTCTGCTTATAAGATAGTGTGGTCACCCTGGTTAAAAGTGCTCCTATAAAGACCAACACAGGGTTTTCAGATGTTGATGAGAGTAGATATAGACAAGAGTCTGCCAGGTACACAGAATCTTAAACCTAGGAGGAACTTAAAAGATCTTTTAGTCCTATTCCTGCTATTTATTGATATGAAAACAGACTCAGTAAGTTGTGGCTTACTGTATTTCATGTAGCTAACTTGTACTTAGGATATGAAACTTGTTCTCCTAGTTTAGAGAGCTTACTTTACCTCTCAAAGATAGTTAAGATTTCTGTGACTTTAACAGACTTTGCATCTGGGATTGCTATTAAAAAAGAAGTTTTCAGGTAGCACCTGTGGCTCAGAGGGGTAAGGTGCTAGCCCCATATGCCAGAGGTGGAGGGTTTAAACCCAGCCCCAGCCAAAAACTGCAAAAAAAAAGAATTTCTATAACTTAAGGAAAATTAACTTATCAGTGTTACGTTTAATTTTATATGCAGCATACTCTAAACTCATAGGGGCTTTGGCCTACCAGTTCTATAATCCTTTACTTTGAATAAAAATTTTTAAATCTAACATTCTTATAAGTTCTAACAATAGTATAATATTCCCTTTCTTTAAGTGCATTAGTCAGAAGTTACTCAAATTTATAATCAGTTTTATCCTGATTATGGTTTTAGACTGTGATGCTTTTGACTATTGACTACCTGGGCTTTTCCTAAAATATAATCATTAAATACTCAGTTTCTAGATCAATGATAATTTTTTAGATTAATAGTAATAATAATTGTTATTATTGATAATCTGGTTGAAGCTGCATGTCTTAAGCAAAAAAAAAAAAAAAAACTACTTAGAATCCAACAGAAGAAATAGAAGACTGAGGTCCATTAGAGAGTTCAGATTCTGCCCTGATGTGAAAATACTTGATGCACAGTCCTGACACAGTAGTAAAACTCATTGACTTTCCCTATGTGACATTGATTAAAATTAATTAAAAATTAATGACAGTAAAAGCAGTTGTGATATTTGCTAGGGAAAGGTACAACATATTTGCTTTTCAGGATAAAGAGCTTTTGAATTTTGGAGGTCTTATCTCTAGCTATTCCCTGGATACTCAGCTTTGATTATGTGTTGACACTGGGAAGTCACTATTTTTATGTCTTTCTCAGATTAACCTTTTTAAAATTTTGTATTTATAGGAACTGAATTCATGGCCAGGTTACATGAACATCTGAAGTATTTTGTAAATATGAAAATTTCTACAGACAAGTCATGGCAAGGAGTTACCATCTACTTCTCAGGCCATGAGGTTATTACCTTTTTTTATTTCAAGAATTTTTAAAAATAAATGTAATACTCTAAAACATAGCATAATACTACATTTTTTAAAACTTTATATTTAGACTCCTGGAGAAGGAGAGCATAAAATCATGGAATTTATCAGATCTGAAAAAGCAAAACCAGATCATGATCCAAATACCAGACACTGTCTTTATGGTTTAGATGCTGACTTGGTAAGTATAGTATTTACTGTTGTTACAGTCTTATCCCAGTGTAGGTAAATAAATAAGACATTTCATTTTTTATAAGAAGCTTACTGGCTATGGCAACAAATATTAAAGACATAATGATTGCTGCTTTTATCATCACCAAAGTTCTGAAATAATTGGAAAATGATCTTTTTTGCCACAGTTTATGATCAACATGTTTCTATAGTTAGACTATAGACCTAACAAACCCTGGTACTATGAATACTCTGCTGAGATTAGGGAAGAAGGTCCTTGTTACTCTCGGCTTTATAAATGACTTTCTGGGCAGTGCCTGTGGCTCAAGGAGTAGGGCACCAGCCCCATATGCCAGAGGTAGTGGGTTCAGACCCAGCCCCGGCCAAAAACTAAAAAAAAAAAAAAAAAAAAAAGACTTTTCATTATCCCCTGCTTTGATCACTCCATCCCACAAATCTTTTACTAGAATTTTTTATTTAAACTTTTTATTATGAAAATTTTCAGGCATAAATAAAAATAGGCTAGACAGTATAGTGAACATCCTTATGCCCTTTATCTACCTTAAATAATGTTTAAGTATAATCCTAATCATCTGTCTCCTTTCTTCCTACCCCCTCAGGGTTATGGAAGCAAATCCCAGACATTATATTATTTAATCTATGTACGTCTCATAATATTTCTCTAAAGGACAAAGGTTCTCACCACAATACCATTGTCCCACATAAAACAGAAATTAACAATCATTGCTTAACACAGAAATTACCACTTAGTATCCTCCTTTCCTCTACTTGTGTTACAAATATTTCATTTTGTTTTGTTGTTTGAACTCATATTGAAACATATAAAATAAACAATATACAGGTACAATGCAGTTGGTTGATAAGTCTCAGTAGAGTTTTGATAAGTCTTATAGAGTTTTAACTTTGGGTATTAGAACATGTGAGAAAATTAACGTACATACCCTCTTCCATTTTTTTCTGAGTTTTTATATACTAGAGCTATTCTGGTCTCCAAAGAGTCTTGCATTCTTTTATCATGGAAAAATTGCTGCCTCTGATTTCTAATTTATTAATCCATGGCAAATAGAAATGTATGAAAACCAAGAGAAGGTTTTAGGATTTGGGGGCTAAAAAGGGGTGGGGGCAGGGGGACAGTTATGAAAGGTTAGGTGAGCTTTTTTTTTGAGACAGAGTCTCATTTTGTCACACTTGGTAGAGTGCCGTGGTATCATAGTTCACAGCAACCTCAAACTCTTTGGCTTAAGTAATTCTCTTGCTTCAGCCTCCTGAGTAGCTAGGACTTTCACAGTGTCTGGCTGTTTTCTCAATCTTCTCACTCTGGCTCAGTCTAGTCTCGAACTCGTGAGCTCAAGCAATCCACCTGCCACGGCCTCCCAGCATGCTAGGATTACAGGTGTGAGCCACCGTGCCCAGCCAACTTTTTTTTTTCCAACTAAAAATACACGATTTTATTTTGACCCTTGGGATTTTGGTTTTTTTTTTAAGAATTATGAGCTTTTTTGTGAAAGCAAATCGTGTACTCTTCTAAAATGAGGAGATTAGGGACATTTACTAACCTCTTCTTTAGGGTTTCAATTTACAGAGAGAAAACTTACATAGTTACACTCACTTTATCCTATTCGTAACCTACAAATAGATCATTTTTTGTTATTTATGTATTTAATGTGCTGATTATTATTCTCTGTATAGAAATGCTTTTTATAATTGCTTTGTGAAACTGATATGATAAAAAATGAGAATATGGAAACATTTCTTAACCATTTCAACAGATTATGCTTGGATTAACAAGTCACGAGGCACATTTTTCTCTCCTAAGAGAAGAAGTTCGATTTGGTGGCAAAAAAGCACAAAGGTAAATTATACAGCATGTATGTTGGCAAAAAGAACAGAAATTAAGCCTGAGTAATAGTCCCTTAACAAATTCATGGTCTGTAAATATTTCATGGATTGCCTTTTCACTCTGTTCTAGTGTCCTTTGATGCACAGAATTTTTTAATTTTGATGTAGTCTAATTCATCTATTTTTTTCTTTTGTTGTGTATGTTTTAAGTATAATACCTGAGAAATTTTAGGCAAATCCAGTATCATAAAGCATTTTTTCTACATTGTATTCTTAGAGTTTTTGATCTCTAAGTGCATAGTATAGTATAGCATTAGTGCATAGTATAAACTAAGGGTTCAAATTCATTGTTTTGCATGAGGATATCCAATCTTCTCAGTGCCATTTATTGAAAAGACTGTCTTTTCCCCATTGAATTTTTGGTCTTATGGTTGAAAGTCATTTTACCACATATAGTAGGTTTTACTTCTGGACTGTCTATCCTATTCCATTGGTCTGCTTGTCAGTCTTTGTGCCAGTACTGCAGTGTTTTGATTACTGTGGCTTTGTAGTAAGTTTTGAAATCACGAACAGTGAGACCTCTAACTTTATTCTTCTTTAACATTGTTTTGACTATTTAGGGTCCCCCAAATTCCATATGATTTTTAGGATGGAATTTTCTCTTTTTGTAAAAACATCATTGGGCTTTTGATAGGAATGGTATTGAATCTGTAGATCTTTTTGGTTAGTATTTATTTCTTTTTGTTTTTGTTTGTTTGTTTTTGTTTTTTGAGACAGTCTCAATTTGTCATCCTTGGTAGAGTGCTATGGCATCATTGCTCACAGCAACCTTAAATTCTTGGGCTAAAGTGATTCTCTTGCCTCAGCCTCCTGAGTAGCTGGGACTACAGGCACCCACCATAATACTGGGCTATGTTTTAGAGACAAATCTCACTTGTTCAGGCTGGTCTCAAACTCGGAAGCTCAGGTGGTCTGCCCACCTCGGCCTCCCCGAGTGCTAGGATTACAGGTGTGAGCTATAGCACCCAGCCTAGTATTTATTTCTTGATGTTAAATCTTCCAGTCTATGAACACATGATGTCTTTCTATTCATTTTTGTCCTCTTTAATTTCTTTCAGCAACATTTTATAGTTTTCAAGAGTATAAATCTTTTGGCTCTTTGGTTAAGTTTACTCCTGAGTTTTGTTTGTTTGTTTGTTTGTTTGTTTGAGACAAGAGTCTCAGGCTGTCACCCTTGGTAGAGTGCGGTGGCATCACAGCTCACAGCAACCTCAAACTCTTGGGCTTAAGCGATTCTCTTGCCTCAGCCTCCCAAGTACTGGGACTACAGGCGCCTGCCACAATGCCCAGCTATTTTTTTGTTGTAGATGTTGTTGTTTAGCAGATTCTGGCCAGGTTCAAACCTGCCAGCCCCAGTGTATGTGGCTGGAGCCCTAACCACTGAGCTACAGGTGCCAATCCTAGTCCTTAGTATTTTATTCTTCATTCTGTTGTAAATGGAATTATTTTCTTAATTTCTTTTTGATATTGTTCTTTTATGGTGTATGGAAACACAACTGATTTTCATGTGTTTATCTTGTACCCTACTTCTATGCTGAATTCGTTTTTTAACTCTAATAGTATTTTTGTGAAGTCTACAGTGTTTTCTTTATTTAGAATCATGCTATCTGTAAATGGAGACAGTTTTACTTCATCATTTCCTATTCAGATGCCTTTTATTCCTTTTTCTTGCCTAATTGCTCTGGGTAGGACTTCCAGAACAGTGTTGAATAGCTGTGATGAAGCAGGGATCCTTGTCATGTTTCTGATCTTGGTTGGACAACTTTAGTCTTTTGCAGTTGAATATTATGTTAGTTGTAAATTTTCATAAATGCCCTTTATTATACTAAGGAAGTCCTTTTATTATTAATTTGCTGAGTATTCTTATCATGAAAGTGTTGAATATTAAATGTTTTTTCTGCAAAACGATAATGTGGGGTATTTTCTCCCCTTTCATTCTACTAATGTAGTGTGTTACATTGATTCTCTTATATTTAACTACCCATACATTCCTAGGATGAGTCTCACTTACTCATGGTATACAGTTCTTTTAATATGCTATTACTGGACAGGTACAGTGTCTTATGTCTGCAGTCCTAGCACTCTGCAAGGCAGGAGAATTGCCTGCGGTCAGGATTTTGAGAAGTTTGAGACTGGCCTGAGCAAAAGCCAGACCCCACCTCTATCAAAAATAGAAAAACTTAGCTGGGTATGGTGGCACATGCTGTTCCTCCTCGGGAGGCTGAAGCAGGAGGATCACTTGAGCCCAGGAGCTTGAGGTTGTAGTGAGTTATGATGATCCCATTGTACTCTAGTTGGGGCAACAGACCCAGACTCAAAAAAAAAAAAAAAAAAAAATATATATATATATATACACACACACACATATACATATATGCTATTATCCCATAACATTCTTACTTGTAGTTAAACTTGGAGTGTAGGCCAGCAGCTGAGAATATAGGACCCTACACCAATCCATGGGAAAAGAAGAGGAAGAAGAGACATTGCTTTACTGCTATAGCTCTAAAATGTACTGCAATAGATATGAGTATATAGTCACTCATCTGTGTCTGCTCATAGCCAACCTTAAAGGGGCCAGATCTCACTGATTTCATATGTATTAATATTTATTATTTAGGGCTTCTTAACTCCGATGAAACTCCTTCCACTAAAAGCATAATGTAACCAATTGTTTTGAACTTTATCATTTTTCCTTATACTTGCAGTTATATCTTTATCTTTATATTTACCCTACGCCTTTCATATAAATTCCATGCCTTAATTATAAGACTATCTCCTAATAATAATTTTGATTTAAACCTTGATCCTTTTTTAAAGTTGGACTTGAAAAATATTATTCACTTTATCTTAATCATCTGACTCATTACAGGGTATGTGCACCAGAAGAAACCACATTTCACCTCCTACACTTGTCTTTAATGAGAGAATATATTGACTATGAGTTTTCAGTACTAAAGGTAAGTATTAGCCATGGATGAAAGATTTGTATGTAGAAATTTCCATTGGATTTGACTTTGTTCTGCATTTTATCATAGGAAAAGATCACATTTAAATATGATATTGAAAGAATAATAGATGATTGGATTTTAATGGGATTTCTTGTTGGCAATGATTTTATCCCTCATCTACCTCATTTGCATATTAATCATGATGCACTGCCTCTTCTTTATGGGACATATATTACCATCCTACCAGAACTTGGGGGTAAGAAAAATTTAATATTCACTTGAGGCTACCTTTTATTTAGAACCAACTTAGTCTAAAAATGTCATTCAGTTTATTGAGTAATTGTATGTACAACTGAAGTAGGAAAATATTGGGGATTTCTCTTTGTCTAACGTAGCAAGCTCTGAGGCCATCATTTTCAGTTGATTTACAAGAAAAGAAAGTGAACAGAGTTTAGCAGCCTCACTTATTGATACTTAGGTAATCTTTCCCTTTAATTCCTTAAGAAATTGGCAGAACTTTGGTTTCACTTACCTCCTTTTATATTTAAGTGTAGAAATTCAGTTTTTCTAAGAGGATATACATCAGAATATTTAATAAGAAAGATTTTTCAATTAAAATGGAAAATTGACAAATAGTGATGACACTGAAGAAAACAGAATAACAGGACATTACTCTTTTATTAAGTTAACATATCAAAGTGAATAATCTAGATAGGTTCTAACTTGTCATTGGGAATGTCGAAGGGTTATTATGTGAACCTGAAATTTCTTACATTTTGCTTTAGTACTTATATTTTGTATATTACAATGGCATAAAGTTCATAGAAACTAGGGCCAGTTTATATGTAGCCTAACATTGAGTATTTTTCTTGATTAGTGCTATAGAGTGTTATTAGTCAGCATTTTGTGGAAAGAATTTTGTAGAATTGCTCGGAAAAAATAATGTTAGATTTTATTACAAGTTTAGATTTTGTTTCTTTTAGGTTACATTAATGAAAGTGGGCATCTCAACTTACCTCGATTTGAGAAATACCTTGTAAAACTATCAGATGTAAGTAACTAGAGGTTTTTGTTTACCTGTCCCAGGGTAGCTATAAATGGTCAGTAATCAATTACATAATACCAGAAAATAGGATTTTAAAATTATATTCCAACTGTTTATTCAGGGTAAATAGTTGCACCTAAATTTTATTTTTATTATAATAAAATTTGTAATTTTCCGAGTAACAAATGAGGTGCCTGTGTATATAAAACAGTAACATTATCCAATTTCCTATGCCCCAGAGTAGTCACTGTTAAGTTTGTTTGATATTTTTGCAGACATACTTAAGTCATATTTAAATGAATTTAAATATTTCTGTAGTTTGATCGGGAGCACTTCAGTGAAGTTTTTGTGGACCTAAAGTGGTTTGAAAGCAAAGTTGGTAACAAGTACCTCAATGAAGCGGCAGGTGTCGCAGCAGAAGAAGCCAAGAACTACAAGGAAAAGAAAAAATCAAAGGTGTTCATTTTTTTAGGTGTCTTTTCATTTTTTTAGCTGTAAAGGTAAAACTGATATTCCTTGTTTCTCATTTTCCTTCTTATGATTTTGAGGTTGCCTCATTTCATTTTTATTTCTTTTGCTTTATCGGCTCTGAAGAAATTGTTTTGTTTTCTTTTGCTCTTTTAGAGACCATTTAAATATGATATTTAAAAATAAATTTATTATTTTTACCCTTAAAGAAAAACATTAATTGTTCTTCCATTCTATTAATAAAAGTAGAAAACATTTCTAAATATAAGAGCCCAGAAAATTAGTTATCTTTTAAAAATAGTTATTAAAAGCACATTACTTTAAAACAACTAGTTTTTTTTTTTTTTTTTT